TTTAAATGGCCTTTATTTTCGTTCACTTACAATTAGCCCGAACTACCTTAAATCCGACAAGTTGTCCGGCTAAGCAAAAAATCTTGCTTTTTCATATGGGTCGATGGTATTGCTACTTCTTTGGCAAATGGAACGTATCCAACTCGGTTTTTCCGAGTTTTTACCGGATGTGACGTAATCTCGGATTCCGAAAATCGGAATCCGAGGCAAATGGAATGCACGATATGGCTCCATCAGGAGAATCTCCACTAGAGGGACGGAAACACGTGATCTCCACGAGAGAGTCCGGACATGACGTTACGCAAACTTTCAAAGTTTCTCATAATTATGATTTAGTATCTCATAATTTCGACTTAGTATCTGAATTATTTTTTATGTTATGTGGCGGAAACGGGCTTCCGTAATAACGCATAACATGACTTCTTTTTTTTTTCTTCTGCCATTTTTTTAGAAGGGTCTGGCTGCAGGGCGCAGGCTCCATCAGGAGGATCTCCACTAGAGGGACGGAAACACGTGAACTCCACGAGCGAGTCCGGACATGACGTTACGCAAACTTACGCCATGGAGGCGGTACCACATATCACATGATCTTCACACACAGCTCGGACTTTAACTCGACTGAACAGAAAGCGAGTCTTTTAAAGTATATACTTATTTTGGTGATCGATTTTATTAACATTGGAAACGGACGTTAATACTCTTTACTTTGTTGATTTGTTCGCCTCACCGAGTTCCCCTAACATTTCTTGTCATTACCGACACCTATTTATTGTATTTGTTGTACCTGCTTTACTATTGACTACCGATAATGAAGGAAAAAAGTATTGTTCATGGCGTTTCACCTCTGTCGCGACCATTCACACGGACTGTATACATCAGCCTTAATGTCAAAGTAGTTCGCGGGAGCGTTGCATTTATTCCTTCCAGTAATATTAATTGCAAGGCTGTTGTATCTTATTGTACCCTAATGCCAGGTCTAGCAAACGTAGTACGGCGTGCTTGAATAAACCTCTTACAACATGACAGCTATACTCAGCTAACCTGTTCCTTTCAAATATTAACTTGTGCGCACACGATAAAACAAATCACTCTATGGGACTTAAGAAGTTCGATATACTTCGTATCAAAAGCCCCTTAACTTAAAAGGAAACTAAGTGCAAACAGACCTTTAAAGCATGACATGAGACATGATATAACATGTCCCAATAGCTCAATCAAGCACACAAGTAACCTTGTAAAGGTTTTACCAAGTTTTTAAAGGTTTTAGCCTAAATATTAATGTATCCATTTGCATAGGGTTGGAAAAGTAACAGCTTTATTATTATCATATAAACATATAAATATAAAATATAAATTACATAAATAAATAGACACATTTCCGAAAAAATTAGTGGAATTGAGTGGAAAAAAGAATAAAACAAATAATGTGATTATTGTAATAAAAATGAGCATCAATTAAAGCAAAGTTATTAAAAATGAACTTTAAACAAAGACTAGTGATGGGCACTGCGACTCATTTCTAAGGCAATAAAAACATAGTGTTGAC